TTTTTTTTTTTTTTTTTTCCTCTGGGAAATATTACCAGGCTGATTAGAGTCAAGTGAATTATTAAAAGACCAAACCTACTTTTCCAAACATAATCTCAGTAATTTAATGCAGTGTTCTGTGCAAAGCAGGAATTAAAGTATCTTCATTAATTTTCTATTTTCATGAAGAATCAATCAGCAGCAGCACTATTAAGGAGTTGCTTGACATAATTATTTGTGATTGAATAGGCTGGATATTTTAAAATGAAAGTTGTATTTATTTTGGCAAACTATTAGGGAAACATAAACGTTGATCTGTTGAAGGTCTCTACCTAGATGATCACCTGGAAAATTTGAGGGAAATTCAGAGTCCGTATGTTCCTGCTTCCCCAGATACTTTGCCATCCTAAAAGATCTCTGTACCAAGAGCACCGAGCTTTCTGTTGCATAGTTCATGCTGTTCAGATTACTGGACACAAAGGTGGGAACTTGAAAGGCTTTGCTACAACTATGTGTCTAGGGCTTCTAAGTAGTTTGCTCTGTAACAGAGAGGTCAGATATCCTGGAGTCCTGTCTTAGGGCAGAGCTTTAATTGATTTATCTCTTTGTGAAAAGAAGTTAAAACTTTTGGCGCTGTGTTGGGTATGTGTGGTGGGATTTTGTTAGAGGGGAAGGGGCTACAGGGCTGGCTCCTATGAGAAGCTGACAGAATATTCATTAGCTCCAGGTCAGACCTGCCTTTGGCAAAGGCTGAGCCTATCAGTGATGGTGGCAGTGCCTCTCTGATAACATATTTCAGAAGGGTGAAAAAAGAAACTGCTGAAAACCTGCTTTGGAGGGCAGAGTGGGATAAGAAAGGAACAACTCTGCAGGCACCAAGGTCAGTGGCGGCACCAAGTAGGCAGGGAGGTGTGCCAGAGCAGAAATTCCTCTGCAGCCCATGATGATACAGTCAGCTGAGCTCCTGCAGCCCATGGAGGTTAGAGATGGAGCAGATATCCACCTACAGCCTGTGGAGGACCCCCCACTGGAGCAGGTGGCTCCACCCAAAGAAAGCTGTCACTCTGAAGGAAGCCCATGCTGGAGCAGTCTGTTTCTGAAGGACTACACCTCATGGAAGGGACCCACACTGGAGCAGCTCAAGAAGTTTCAGCTCTTTGGGAAGGACTCACGTCAGAGAGTTCATGGAGGACTGTCTCCCATGGAAGGGACCCCACACTGGAGCCAAGGAAGAATACGCGTCCTCCTCCTGAGGAGGAAGGAGCAGCAGAAACAACATGTGGTGAACTGACCACAACCCCCATTCCCCACCCCCTGTGCTGCTGTGGGGGGCAGAGGGAGAGAAATCGGGAGCAGAGCTGAAACCTGGGAAGAAGGGAGAGGTGGGGGGAAAGTTTTTAAGAATTGGTTATTTTTCTTATTATCCTACTCTGATATGATTGGTAACAAATTAAATTGATTCTTTTGTTTCCCCAAGTCAAGTTTTGCCCTTGGCCACAATTTGTAACTATGCTCTCCTTTGTCCTTGTCTTGATCCATGAGGCTTTTTGTTTTATTTTCTTTTCCACATTCCACTGGGGTGGGGGGGAGGAGTGAGTGGGTGGTCATGTAGTGTTTAGCTTCTGGCTGTGCTTAAAGCATAATAGGTGCTGAGGCTCACCCCTGACTTCTTTTACCCAGGAAACCCCTGAAAGTAAAAAAGTAGTCTCAAGGAATTGTGGTAAAGGACACAGCAATCTTGTTTCTGAAAAAATGACCTAAGGCTAGTCGTTTGGGTTGTTTTGTGTTTCTTTTATTCTACGGAATGGGTGTATTTGTTATTAATTCCTACTCCATGCTAAGTATGACCATTTGTCATTCTTGCTCTGATTTGAAACAAGATTTTCCTCGTAACAAAATTTTTACACAGAAGTTCTGATTTTTACTTCCTGCTACCCAGAAGCTATTTATGTGACCCTGAGCCTGTAGTAATTTACTTAAGTGATAAATTACTGTATGATCCAAATGCAAAGAGGTATCCATATTATATTCTGTGTCTGGAGCTATTTTTGTCTACACATTAGACCTACCTACATAAGTAGTATGAGATCTAGGAAGACCACTATCACTTCTTGAGACTGTATGAAGATGCATAAGCTCGCATCAGTAAGAATCAGTCTGTTCTACAGACCACATGGTGCCTGTGTAAGTGATAAAGTTGGCATTATCAGTTCATTAAGGCTACATTATAAGTAGGATGCATGTGAGTATTGATTGCTTTGGGCACACTGTAAATAAGTAAATTAAATGTAAATAAATTTTAATAATTTATATGTAAATATTTACATATAATGTAGATCGAATTACAATACCACCTTATGGAATCCATGCCTGCCTGAAATTAGAATGTTCCTGGAATGTTTTACATGGATCTATCTAGTCACAGTCTCCATTGTAGTTATTTTCTCCTCTCTCATGTCTTCATTCTTCTTGTGCTCAGGTTGGAATAAATAATTACCAACCAGAAAAGGTGCTATGCTG